TAGATGAAGATAGGGAGATACCTCTTATTTTAGGAAGACCGTTTTTAGCCACATCGAAAACTCTAATTGATTGTGCTAGTGGTGATCTTTCAATGACAGTGCATGATCAAACGGTTAAATTTAACGTTTTTAGCGCTAATAAAAATCCATATGATGACAATGATTGTTATGCTATTGATCTTGTGGATTTTACAAATCATGAAGATTTTGACGTTTTGATCTTAGACCATGGGAAAGGATCTTTGAGTGCAGGAGATGGTGGCGGAAAAGATAGTCGGACGGAGCAAGTTTATTGTGCGAGCTCAATTTCAACTCCGCCGAGAGACAGTCAAAAGAGTTGGGGTGATAACAATGATGAACGTGCAAGGTGGATGTGGCCACCTAAAGAACCAAACGAGCATTATTGGGGAGAGGAATTCAATCGCCAAGTGACTTCGGTCACGTTAGCTTGAACAAAGAAGCAGACAAAGTCCGGCTGAAGACTTTAAACTTAGCGCTTCTTGGGAGGCAACCCGAGCTTTATTGTTTTTCGTAGTTTTCTTTAATTTTTCGTTTCGTTTTTGATATCATAAGCATGCATTCTAATTTATTTATTTGAATTTTAACTTTTCAGGGTTGAAAACATGATCGGGGAGTCCAGACGACCGTCCGCAAAAAAAAAAAAAAAAAAAAAATAAATAAAAAAATTGCAGCACTGCATTTGAGACGGCCGTCCCAAAATATGCCTATTTTGTGGGACGGCCGTCCCACAACCAGGAAGAAAAAAAAAATTCGGACGGCCGTCCGAAAATCAGCACAAAAACCGGGACGGCCGTCCGACGATTTTTAGGGCGTTTTAACTTTCAAAAATTAGATTCTTTTCCCCATTATTTCCTAAACCCTCCTCTTTCCTTCTCTCAAACTCCCACACACAAATCGAGGCTAGAGAATCGAACCAAATTCTCCAAAATCTACTCTTTCAAGGCATGCCCACAAGGTGTTCGACAATGTGCTCCAACCAAATTTTGAGTTCGATTGTCAACCAATTCGCACCGAATTTATTCCAACCTCTCTCCCAACTACGTCATCCAATAAACGAGGCCACGCGAGCTAAGCATCATCTTCCAAAGGGAAGGGAAATGGAAAGAAAAGTGTCACCGTACCCGAGCTTTCCAATAAGGACGAGCGTGAGAGAGCAAGGGAGGAGCACCCCGATCACACCGACTCCGAATAAATCAGGTGTTTTCTATCCTTAAAACTTTGTGCTTATTTCGTTGAGGGCAACGAAAATTTTAAGTTTGGGGGTGAGAAACATGTTTTTGTGCTTATTTGTTTTAGTTTGCATGCATTAGGTTTTATTCGTTTTTATTGTTTTTCTCGTTTTTTTCGGAATAAAAAAAAAATAAATAAATAAAATTAAAAAAAATAAAAATAAAAAATTTTGCTTGAGTTGAATGCATCGATGATTTATGATGATGAGAGATGATCAATGTTTGATGATGAGATTGCTTGTTTTGTGTGATAAGGATTTGATGTTTGTTTAGCTTTCGATTCAACGGGACTTAGAAGCGAATTATTGCTAGGAATCACATTTTGTGCATTGCTTTGGTTGAATGTTTTGTATTTTAAATTTGGAATTAATTTGTGCTAGATCATGCTATGTTCGGTTTTAAGACTCACCTTAGGAAATTTATGATACGAAGTATTGAGTAGTGAGTGATTTGGGATATGATTTGGGCCTTCTTTGAACCGTTTGAGCCTTTCAAGCCGACTTTTTTAAATTTTTATCCTTAGAACCTTGATTCGAGCCTCGCAGAGAAAAGGTGTTCTTTCTTTTAGCCAATATGTGGAAGGTAGAAAGTGGAGATTGTTGAATAATTATCCCTTGGAGTTCGGTCGAAATGTTTTATAAGATCTTTCTTCTTCTTCGATAAAAAAAAAGAAAAAAAGAAAAAAAAAAAAAAAAAAAACAGAAAAATATATGTGCAATTCTACACATATATATCTAAATTCGAAAAAAAAAAATAAAGAAAAAAAGGAAAAGAAGAAGAAGAGAGTAGATGGGAGAAATAAGGACTAGTTGTTGACTTGTTTTGAAAGCTCGATCCATTCTCTTAAGAGCAAAAGTGGAGACTTTTGAAATCTTAAGAATCGAGTTTATTAAAGTCCTTAGAGGTGAATTCGTTGTTTCAAACGCCTATCTTTCAAATTTTGGCGTAATCACCTCAATTCAAGAAAATTAGCCACACATTCCCATATTACCTACCTCAGACCAAAGAGCCTAACAATTGAAAGCCACAAAGTCCCAATGATCCCAAGAGCTTATTGTTCAATATTAGTTGAGTAGAATAATTTGGTGAGTATTTGGAGTCAAATATATGCATGTAAGTATAAATTCTTTCTTTCTTTAACTTGCAAATATTGGATACTTGAAGCAATTGTATGATTTGTGGTTTTTGGTAATAATGAGTGACTAAGTGCCCTTGAATGTTAAGCTTGCGAATACCTAGGAATTATCATCATAATTGCAAGTTCTGAAAACACGAAGTTGACCAATCGATCTATGTAATGAGATGTATAGTCGTGTTTTGTGCTCTTAAATTGATTTTACTTAAGGACAAGCAAAAGTTCAAGTTTGGGGGTGTGTTAAGTGTATATTTATACACTTAATTGTACCTTTTTATTTGAGCTTTTGGTGTGTTTTAAAGATAATTGGTGCTTAAAAAGTTGATTTATTGTATTTTAGGTACAAATTGAAGAATTGGAAAAGTATGGGGTCAAAACTGCAATTTTGGAGAAAATATGGGCCAAAAGTGAAAAAATCAAAATTCTGAAGATTTGAAGCTCGGACTCCCGTCCCAGTTTTAGTGCAATTCGTGGGACCCCCGTCCGAGACTCCGAAGTTGCGCAGAAAAGGGATTTTAATTGCACAAGGAAACTGCCTTCTTCCCCAAGTTCTTCACCCTATATAAGACCAAGTCAGACACACAATTAGGGATCTTTTTCTTTTATCTATCTTTTATCTTTCATCTTTCTACACGCGATCAAGAAGCACAAGAACGAAGACGAAGACTTGACGAATCTTCATCCTAGTTCTCCTCTTTGATTTTTATTTATAGTTTTTATGATTTTTCGTATTTTTATTATGTTTTTCGTAGCGAACATGAGTAGCTAAGTTTTTATTCTAGGATTTTATTGGAACCCTATGTGGTAACTCGAACCTATTTTTCTACTTTTATGCAAGTTTAATTCTTCGATTATTTCTTCTATTTTGATCGTATTTAGTGCATGAGCGTAGCTAACTTATGTTGTTATTTGTTATTGTTAGAATTGATTGACAGATCGTTTTAATAATTAGAACAGGGATAGAAGAGCCTTCGAGTAGTTTTTCACCGAATGTGTGTGTTGATTGCATGTATTATCGTAGACATACAGATAATACCTTAGGTAGCCGTTTGCGAGACTTGTTATTTAATGCTTTATTTATATTAGGTTTGCATAGACATATAGTGAATCTTTTATGAATAATAGGTTTATAGCGCAGCGACAGCTGGTTATGAATAATTTCGTGTCTTGGGTTAATAATCGGGAATCGTAACTTGCATAATAGTAGACTAGTTGGGTGAAGAATTATCGCATAGGGGGAAGATAAAATCCTAGATCCGTTTTATATTGATATTTTATCGTGATTAATTGCTTTCTTAATTAGTTTAATTTATTTAGTTAATTAATTTGACAACCCTGCGTAGGCTGAATAAAAATCATAATTGTTAGGATTTGGTACTTAGGATTAAATAATTTGCGTATTCCCTGTGGGATCGACATCCGACTCTCACGAGTCTACTTTACTACTTGTTTGCGATACGTACACTTGCGTGTTGGTATTTAGCACCCAACACCCCTGACATGGCCAACCATGGAAACTCGCAGAGCCTCCTCTTCATAAGCCCTTCTCTCCAACTCATCCATCTCCTCCTTCTTGATCTTCTTCTTCGCGTTCACAAACATCGCTATCGTCAGCAAACTCAGTAGCGCCGCCCCCAACGCGCCTCCGATCGAGCCCACCGTCACTATCTTCCACTTACCGACCTCTTTCCCGCCGCTCTTCAACGCGGCCGTCATATACAACGGCATTTCCGCCACCAACCCGAAGTAGCCGTTACTAGTCGAAACGCACACGTTGTTAGGCCCCGTTCGGTTCAAGAAAGTGATCTTCCCATTTTCGTCGAACCTAACACATAAAGGGCTTATTATCCCTGCAGGTAACATATCGTTGAGAAATTCGGTGCTGCTGAAGTCGATAGCAATCGGGTTTTTGCCAGCTGGCATTTCGATAGTGCTGACGTTTTTGCCGGGACCGGTGTAAGCTAGTAGGGCTAAGACAGGTGCAATGAGTTGATACGCTGACGATAACTTGTAGCTGTTGTAGTAGATGGACGACCAGTTAGACCCGAGGTTCTGTCGTAGGAGGATGACTCGTTTGGCGCAAGGGCGGATATTTAATCCGCTGCTTAATCGGAATTCTTGAATCTTGGCGCCGTATCTTTGAAGACTGCCGCAGCGCAGTTTTATTGCGTCGGCTTTTACGCCCGAGAGATTGGACGGTAGATTGATGGCGTGGAGTTTGCCGGTTTTGGAGTTTGTGGTGTATGATTTGAATGTGTAGTCTTTGATTATTTGATCAAGAAGAAGGTGTTGGTTTTGATCTGATTTTGAGGTTTGTAGTGAGAGGAATATTGTTAGTGTGATGAGGGAAAAGAGGAATCCCATTTTTTATAAAGATTGTGATTTTGATGATGGAAAAAGAATGTGATTTATCTTATGATTCAAGCATGAATGAAATGGAGGAGCTTTGATTTTTTTTTTTTTTAATTTTCTTGGTGTGATTTAAGTTAACTGTGGTTACAGGGGTTCTTATACCCCACATGGTAATGGAAATGTGTTGTGTTTGAGTTTAAGGGTGGAAATTGTTACAAAATTTTTGAATTTGATTAGAAAAATTTCGATTTTTAAATAATATTTTTTGATTTTGAATTTCAAGAATTTTGATTTTTTCAATTATTCAATTTTATTTTTGAATACGTATGAGATTTTGGTTTATGATTTTTCCGATTTCTTTTGGATTAGATATAAGATTCTAATTTTTATTTACGACATAATTTTGAAAATTACACTTTTCGGAAATTTGCATTGATAATATTGCCATGTGTCTTTTGGTATTGTTAGTATTTTATAGGGATGGATTCTTTAACATGACTTGACGGCAGGGTCAATATGTCGCATTCTATAGTACATGGGGTATATACGACACTAATAATACTACAAAGGTGAAATTTGTATTTAACCCTATTTTATAAGGTAAGATAACCATGGATATAATGGTGGAAATATATGGGGATGTTTGGTTATGTTTCCAAAACGAATTTCTAGTTTTCAAAATTTCTGATGGAAAAAGTAGATTATTGGTTTTTGTGTAGAAAATGGGAATATGTTTGGATGAAGGTGTATTTTTAGTTTTATGTAGGTGTAGAAATGAGAATATGTTTGGTTGTGGTGAATTTTCTCTACGAAAGTACGTGCAAAAGTAGAATATAATGATTGATGATGATGATGATGGTGATGATGATGATGATTATTATAATAATAATAATAATAATAATAATAATAATAATAATAATAATAATAATAATAATAATTAT